CAAGCAGTATAAATAAGACTTATACCTATGGACTTTTACATGAACAGGCAGATTCATTGACATGTCTGTTTTATGGAAGTTACCTTACTTATTTTTGTGTTGAAAATGTCATTTCATATTAAATTATTCTTGGGAACCTAGTATATTTTATAGGCCATGAGACTTTTGTTTTAGCTTCTTCCATGCTCTCTATTGCCTCATCATGAGGTACGAGGCAGGGGGAAGTTTATGACATTGTATTCCATACCCATTTACATGTCTTATGACCACATTTAAATATCATCTTTCTCCTATGCTGTAAATTCTCTTCACCCATTTTTATTGTATGTGATAGACACAATTGCAGAAGACTTTATGAATTGCTACAGGTATGCTAAAGAATAAAACAATTTTTAAACTTAGTACAGAATGTGATTAATTTTTATAGAAACACTATGTACCTGCCAAGGGTACTTTGAAAATGAAATTGTTTTTGATTGTGTGAAACTGCTTGAAAATGTGATTCTCCAAAGCTTTCTTTTCCTTATGGCCAGAAAACGGTGATATGGAAATTAATTATGACTATGCACTTGAGATTGGTTCTTTTCTTTTAAAAATCAAACGAGAAAAAATAGTTTCTTTGGGCCAAGAACAATCATAAGACGTTTATATACCCTGAGTTTTAGATGGACATGGCTCACTAATGGTAGCTTTGACTTGATCACCATCTGCTCAAGAATTAACATCCCAAGTGACATTGTTCTGCAGATCCCCTATAGTACTCACTGTACTATAATGAATTTACATTGTAGGTCACAACTCTAACCAGAGAGCACTGTTTTGTTCTGACAATGTGTCTTATTGTGTGCCAATTCCAACATGGGCACGATAGAATGTTGTTAGGTGCCTGTTGTGTAACAACTTCTTGAGTTTGCCTAAATCTATACACACATTTCTGATTCCCACATATAATCTGGTTTGTAATCTCTTTTGGCTCTGGCTGGTTCTTCTTTGATTTGAGTAACATGTTGCTGGAAAAAGTTGGTCAAATAGTGAGTTTCCAAAACAAAGTGGATCAAATTGGATAGGTATATGATTGGATAGGTAAAGATTCAGAGGGAAAACTGAATATTCTTTTCATGTGTTTTTGTGGCAAAGATGTGAACCGACTGATTTGCTTGAGGCAGCGTAGCTTAATAAAACAGGGGCTTAGAGAGGGCCAAGCTGTGAGGGTTCCCCTCTAGCGATTCCAACTTGCATGTGCTCGTTTGACTTCAGGTTGAGAGTGAGGCACATCCTGTGAAGATGGCTGTTGTATTTTGAGCAGTGGTCTTCACTCATTAGCATGCTTTAGAAACACTTGGAAGGTTTGCAAAAACCCACTATTATGCTCCTAAGCTACTATGCTCCACACCCAGAGTTTTACAGAACTGGTCTGGGGTGAGCCTCAGGAACTTGCATGTCTAATCTATGATGCAAAGCGGGTGAGATGCTGCTGGCCCAGGGACTGCACTTTGGGAACCTGAGATTTAGAGCCTCAGGAGCTCTTGTTTTTGTTGCAAGGTGTTGGAGACTGGGTATGGGAAACATTATAGGGAAGAAGCTGGGAAGAGTTCGAAGGGTGCAGATCATTTTGCTTAGTTCCTGGAACTGCTGACTTCTAAGCTGATACAGTGTACAGTTTACAGAGTAAAATGTTAGTGAAGCTGTTAGTATTAATTACTTTTTCAATGGTAGCCAGAGACAGTTTAGGAGGGACAATAGATTTGATTTTTTTCTCAATACCAGCCTTTTCTTTCTTACCTGGTTCCTGCATCTTCCTTCAACCTATGCCCTCCCATATAGCATAAATACAGATTGCTATATTATAACTGTTTTTCAGAAATGAGAGAAATAATGAGACCATATACGAGGCTTCTTGGCAAACTCGTCACAGCAGTCAAGTTTATCATTGTCATAAGAACTATACTCAGCTGCCTTTTACCTATTCAGGTTTTGCAGCAATTGGGACAATGATTGTGCTGAAATATACCTTAATGGTGTTCATAAAGATTTTCCAAAGAAAATCAATATAGTTAGGCTGTGGCTCAGTTAATTTATTTAATGAAAAACTGCTTTCAAGTTATTTTAATACTGCCATTTACATACAATTGATTTGATAATTAGAAATCAATCTGATCTATGCATCCACAGTAGCAGATTTTAACTTATAAATATGGTCAAGATTGCTAAGGCTTCACTGCTTTCGGAACACATAATTCACTTATTCAGACAAAATGTTCATTCACTCCAAATAACAGGTTTTTTTTTAATGTGAAGTGCAAAATTATACCTATTCATCATTTTCTAGTAGTTTTAATCTCAGCACTGTTTAGAGGCATTCAAGTTTGTCTCTGATGTCTTTTATATTGAATGGACACTGAAAATCTAGTATTTGGTTCAGAGCAGAAAATGTGACCTTCAAAGGGGTTCTTTTAATTTTGCTTATAAAGTGCTTTTTCAGATGTTACTTTCCTTTAATAATGCCTCTTGCTCAAATTTTCCTAGAAAAAAACACCCTACCAGGTAGAGGATTTAAGCGATCTAGGCCATGCTTACTCAGTGACATGCAGCAGAGTGGAAAATACCCTGTCTTTCTAGCTCAAGAAAAAGGATTTTTCTGATCTAGTAGTTAAAGGTAGTTATATTATTTAAAGAGCTGCTATTACATAGACATTAACCTATTAGGAGTAGACTTTAATCTTATAAAATTATGTGTTGGAGTTTCTATCTGAAAGAATTAAAGTCTGTAATCTAAAGAATGATTTGGAAGCCAGGTGAAGGTAGGTTTGAACTTCCATGCTTCTTTTCAACCCTTGTCCTCTTGCTGTGAAGACTAGCCTGAGTGGGATCACTGAGGATTAATAATGAATGCATTGCTCAGCACCCTGCAGGGCTGGGTCAAAGACCCTGGCTTTAAAAAGTTACTTTTTTGCTTAGTAAGCCTAGAAATTGCAGGTCCAACTGTAGAACGAAAGTTCAGTATTCTGTTGTTTGACATGGCCTACCTGAAAGTGGTCTGTGGCTGTTCTAGATTTCCCTTCTCTCTATCTGTATATAAGTGTCAAGAGTAATTAGGTTAGATCTCTAATACATTTTACCTTGGCTTGCTATCCTGCTGGGAAAATTAGTTTTTCCCGTAGTATTCCTGGTGAAATTCGGCCTTTGACTTGAAGGAGACATTTCATGTGTTAAGGAGGAAGAATGGGTATGCTTATTTTAGACTGGCAAATGGGAATGCAGAGAGAAAAGGGAGCTTTGAAGGCAAAGAATGAGGATTCTGGGTCACATACCCACTAAGAAAGACTTATGGTGATCGAAGTGTCCACCACAGGAGGAAAGCAGGTGGCTTTTCTGGCTGATCAGAGAGGGCAGTGTTCTGGCCGGGGCTGGCAAGGCTGGGGAGACAAGTCCCAGCTTATATCATGATTCTGGCTGTGCTGGTGATGAGAGAGGAGGTGGTCTCTCCAAGCCATTAAAAGAGAAAAAGAAACTTGATAGATTAGCAGGTAGAAAAGGTAGTAGCATAAAGGATTCCAAACTGGAAGAAAATTTATTTTTATGCTTATAGTTTTTTTTAACTTTTAAAGACTTACTTATTTCAACATTTAATTTTAACAATGCAATAGAAAATGCAATAAATTATTTTGACAAATCTGTAGCCTTTTAAAATAGTTTTGCTTTCAATTTTATTAAGAACAGATCTCTATCTTAAGCTTTATTCTTTCAAATAGATTTTGACATTGTTTTTGTGTATTACAATTTTTAAAAAGTATTTTTACAATAAACTGTCTCTAGAAACATTTTATTCAAAGGTTATACTGTTAATATATATGATCAATTTATAACAGAAACATAACTTTTATATCATAAAATTATGCCAGTGGATCACCAGTATTTAAAAATTGTTATTCAATCATATTTGTGCCTCAAACTTTCATATGTTGACGTAACCACTGGATATCTAAAAAAGAACACACATGTATAATATATTTGAGGTTGGAAATACCCAAAATCATTGCTTTTGAACTTATAAGGAGTTTTATTAGAAACAAAGAGGTTTAAAAATAAAAACTCATTTTAAATACTCAATTTAAACAAAGACTAGATAGACACTAAAATAATAGCACTTTAGTTTTTATAAAGAAGCAAGCAAGCCTTTTACTATCTCATGAAACTATTGGCATTAGGTAGCATAAGCAAACCCATTAACAGATCACGTAACACAGCTATTAACTCTATATCAAAAGATTTTTTAAGAGTTTTAAAACTGACTATTATTAGAATATGAAATAAATTGTACTTACATAAATAACTTAAAATGATAAACAGATATAATCCTCAATCACTTCAAGAGTTATTTTCTTTTTTTTTATTAAATTCTTTTATTGGTACATTGTAGGTATACAACACAATTACATTTCTCATTGGGAATTGTACCTTTACATAATGTATCTTGGTTCTTATTTTTTCCCCATTCCTAGCCCTCCCTTCACCCCCTTCACCCTTCCCTATTTACAAAGACTTTATTTCCATTTTTTCCATTTCTCATCATTTTTCCTTTCCCTTCTTTCCTTTCCCCTGTCCCTCCTACTACCCCTACCCTTTTGGACCTTTTCTTCCTATTTTACATTATCAATTATTCATTCTAATCATTGGTACATTTTAGGTATACAATATAATGACATTCATCATTGGAAATTTATATGCTTATTGTTTTAGAAGATATTTTTTTCAAGTTTAATTTGTCTTCAAACAAAATCAGGCAATAAAACTTAAAAATATTTGGGCCTTTGCCTTCTTCCATTTAACCATGTTTGCACTCCAACCTGGATTCTGGAAAACTCTACAGGAGAATCTTGATGTGGTTAAAAGCATTGTCATCATCCCCATTGCCATCCAGTAGTGTCTGTGAAGTGTGCAAATCAAACTGTGTCTTCTGCAAAGAAGTCCTTACTTAGAGTTCACTTGTGTTTTTCCAGGTAGCCCAGCCATGACCCATAGGAACCTGACTTCCTCCAGTCTGAATGACATTTCTGATAAGCCAGAGAAGGACCAGGTAAGCAAAGGATCCTCACCATTTTGCAATGTAAGGCTGAATGTGTCTCTTGGAGGTGCTAGGAAAGGCTATGGACCATCATCGTGTTTGAGCCTGAGCTTGCACTTTCTGGGAGGGGAGGGAAGCAATACACTAGCTGTTCTGGGGTCAGCACGGAATTTGAACCGTGACTCCAGTCTTTTCAGATGTATTCACCTGGGCAGTTTTAACCACCTATTCCTATTTACATATTTACATATCTTCCTTAGGTTTGTTGCGGGGATTAAATGACATTTTATGAACTATAAAGGGCTAAAAAATCCTGGAATTAATTTAGGGGGATGCATCAAGCAAGGGTTGTGATAGTTGTCTCACTCTGCTATTTGTCTATCGATACATATAGTAAGTAGCCTATTTGAAATGAAGAGCAAGCAGCTTTTGAATCTGTTTGCTTTCTTTTGAAAAGAATGTGACATAAACATGGCCTTTCTCCCAGTTGGGTGGGTATCTGGAGACAGATTTTAAGAATGTAGTATGTTGATATTATAAAAGGATGCTTCCTGATTAAAAAACCCTCAGTGTCAAAGAAATAAAAGTAGCATATTTTAAAAATGATTCTAGAAAACAATGGCAATCTTAGCCTTTTTCCTCAGGGTAGTAGAAAGTATTCTATGTTGGAAAGAGCAAAGAAAAGGAAAGCACAAAAGTCTGGTCTTGTTAATTTTTTCAAAACTGGCTAACTCTAGGTCAGACAGTAGTTTTCTCTTTTGTTAAATTGAAACAACATACAGCTCAGTTTAGAAAATCCAGTACGTGATTCTTGCTCTTATAACTAGTTTTTTCTTCTGTGATGTAACAGAAGAATACGATTCTCATTGCTTCATGCTTGACATGTTAATTGTGTGTCATTTGTGTGACCTCATTCTTTCCCTCCCTTTCCTAAGAGATGGCTTTGAGATTCTTCTTTTCTCACTTCACTATTTTTTCTAAAAAAAGCAATATTTATGACAGTGTTCCTCTTTAACTGAAAGCACTTGTAGTAATGACAGAAGTTTATAGGCTTTGGTAAATTCTAAAAAGTACAGGAAAGGTGAAATTACACTTTTTCTTGTGAAATGGCCCTTGGATTCTTTTTACCTTCTCCTTCTTAACCAGCACTGTACTGATAGGGCCTTCATCAGCTCTAGATTGCTGTAAAAACCTTTGGAACTAATCCTTTGCCCCTGTTTTCTCCTCTGAAATGTGCTGTTCTCCTTCTTCAGGGATTTATCTGTGTTCCCCGGAAGAGGACTCTGTTTTGATCAGACCTAGTATCTTTTCTCCATCCTTACCTTGAGATTAATTCTTGAGTCCTTGAGCTGGTCCTCCTTCAAATGCTGACATGGATTCCTCTTCTCCCAGGGAGAGGATCATTTAAATATTAGGCGCACTGGTGGGTATACACCTGTCGCAGAAGAGGGAGAACTGGGGCCATTAGAATTTCCTTCAGAAGTATTGTATACATGTTGGCTCCATCCCATATTTACCAAGCAATGGTGATTGCTTATGTTGTTTGCCAGGGATCCTCAAGTTGGGCAAAGCAACACACTGATTATGGTTAGATTTGTCTGGCTGATGGGCTTTTGAGGAAGCCTTTTTTTATTAAGGATACCTCTCCTCTAATCAGAATTAGCCAACAGACAGCTGATAAATGCTGACTGAAATTTCTTACCTTCTTGGGTTTCTTCTTCATATCTAGGCATATGAAGAAATTGTATGATGGTTTAAGATGCAAATTACATAAGATTTTGATTCTAGAAGTAGAAGAAATATGTTTGCACATCATGATTTGTTGTTAAATTTGTGTGCCTGGGTCCTTAAAAACAGTATCTCCACTGCCCATTACTAGTCTCACATGGACATCAAGGCTCATGTTGAGAGGAAGACAGAAGATTTAATCCAAGAGTTTTGTTCTGTTTTCAAAGCCAGCAAACGAGGGTTAATGACTCTACCATTGTAAGAACATTTCTCTAAATTGTATCTCATTGTGCCAATGAATTCTTCAAAAGGGAAGAAGAAACTCTATTTTTCTTTTACCCAAGGGCTGGAGGAGGAGCTTTCTAACTGACCTGTCACCTCTTCTACAGCTAGTGATAGAGGAAAAATTCAAGCTAATTTCCAGTTTCTATTACTCTTTCAGTAATTTCAAATCCTGTTTCTTTTTAGGACAAGGGGAAAGAGTACACTTGCAAATAAGGTGAAGTTATGGCAAATGCAGGCCTTTTTAAAACAAACAAACCTGTTTTAACACAGTGAACCTGGGCCTTTATTTTTTAACCTGTTTTTCCTGTTTGGGTAGAAAAAAAAGGTTGCCAGGCTCAAAGTTGTTTTGAAAAAGCTTTTATAATTAATTAGCCAATGTCCTGGAAGTGATCTTGGCAGAAAAGTGAAACCTGTCCTGTATGCTTGTCCAAGTTGGCCCCAAACCTGCCATCCAATTGAGACTAAAATTCCTGATTGACAGATTATTCTGCCTGGATACAATCTGAGCACTTGTGATGCCGCTTGGTAACTTCCTGGAGCTACACAACATCCCAGTAGCACAAAAGATGGATTTAAAGTTGAGGAACAGAATGGCTCTTTCTGACAGCTACATAGTGACAAAATTTGAGGGCACATTTTTTTCCTAAGCTTCTGTCTTGGGAAAACAGAAGAAACAAATCTGTGGACTGCATTTTTTCTTTCGGCCTCTGCCAAGCCTTTGTGCTTATGATTTTAGAAGCGGTTGCCCGATGGAAAAAAAGCTTAAAATAGTTAGCAGCAGAAGAATATAGCCAAAATTTAGACAATTCAATGTTTCAACAGTATTCTAACTTGGATGTTATATTTATTAAGCAGAAAAATACCTGTGGAGAGTAGATTAAAAAGTACATCTGGAGCTCATCTAGTTGTGAAGCTACATAAATAATCTGTATTTTGTTGCTATGGAGGTTTTTTAAATGTTGTCTGTTATCTTGATTATATTAGACTGATTTGCTTTTCTGTCTCCCTTTATTTTCTGTTCTTTTCAAAATTTACATACATGTGAGATGTATGTTCATCAAATGCAAGGTCTTGAGTTCCAGTTCTCATGTGAGTGTTGAATTAGCTGAGAGACAAGAGAGTTTCCCCATCATTTTACTTCGTAGCTCTTACTCTTGTAGATGTACTATGCTTAGTGGTACAATAACTTCACTTATTTTTTTTTTCTTTTTCCTTTTTTTTTTTTGGTACCGGTGATCTAACTTGGGTCTTTCTGCTTGCAAGGCAGCTGGCGGAACCACTGAGCTAAATCCCCGGCCCTACAATAACTTCAGAAGGGTTTTTTCCAGGTTTATCGGGAAGGCAATAACATCTCACAATTACATGTTCCGCTTTCAGGATAGCCCGTGGGTTACAGAGGATGCTGTAGATATTGCATCAGAAACACCGTGCAGATTCACAGGGAGACATACTCGCTCCTGTAACCTTATTTGTGCTTATCTGGTTTTCACATCCATGATACTTGGCATTTAACCATCTTCCCTGAGAATTTATCCCATAGGTCTTCTGACTGAATTTGGCCTAAGGTTAATTTGTAAAGTGATTACTATAAAATGAAAACTAGAAGGAACCATTCTGAGACTGAATGACTCAGCCAATCCTTTGCCTGCATGTCTGTGGTACAGGAATAGTTAACTCCATTTATCTGCGATGATGCTCATGGTTTGAAGGTATATTTCCATCTCAGGGCTCACACACAGCCTCCCTAATAGCTACTTTATACTTACAGTGAAGGAAAGTACCAGAGTATCTCACCTTCCACTCTTTCCAGGGCTCAGCCACACTGAACTGTGTGTGGTCTTACTTTATCCTCAGGGGAGGGGCAGAGGCTAAGAAATGCTCATATTTTCTGAGGATGCAATACTTGTCTTTAGCAAATTTTCAGGGACCAGTGAGACACTGCTGTGTCAGGAGAGCTCCAAATGGAAACCTGAGAACAAGAATGCTAAGAGGTGGGAGTTGCAGTTTTACATGTCCTTGGTTGCCACAGGGTTAGTGACGGCCCTGAGCTGCTTGGGGCTTAGTGGCCACAGCTTTCCTTCAGCTGTGTGTTTGAGGGGGAACTTGTGTGGCCAAGTGAGAACCACCTCCAGACCCCTCCCAAACCAGACTAGCTTGGGCTTAGATGACTAACACAACTGATGTTTATCATCATCATTGCCCTCTCTGCTAGAAATTTGTCTTAACATAGCTCCCTGTTCTCACTCTGTGCCCTCTCTTCTAACAGCTGGTGGCTGGTAGTGGTGTTGGGGAAGCATTGCTGACTTTAGAATGTGTTTGTTTTAAAATTGGGATAATTCTTTGCCTGCTTTAAAATGAAGCAGATATGCATGTGTGATATCCACTAATCTCTGCCTCCTCCGTTTTCATAGGAAGCAGAGTCCTCAGACAATTTAGAAGTATGATTTTAAATAACTGTGAAGCCACAGTGCATGTGAACTATACTATGTACTGCTGTAATTGTAATGCATTTGTGCTCTGAGATATTCCATTCTGGGCTAGAAAGTACTCTGGGTGGTGGGCTCCTTTGGGGTTCTGCTTTGGGTAAGAGATAGTTAACAACCAAAACAAGTAAACAGGATGATTTCATATAACAAATGTTATACTGAAAATAAGGCAGAGTAGTATGAAGAGGTACAGGAAAACTTCTTCACGTAGAGGAAGAGTTTTGTAGGCTGAGCCTAGAGCAAGACTAGAGGCCTTGAGGCTGGAACGAGAGTGGTACATTCAGATCCAGAAAAACACAAAAAGCCTCAGGGTGGCTAAGGGAAAGGTAGCAGGTGTTCACCTGCTCAGTCAGCGAGGTCAGGAAAACAGCCGAGGGGACAGAGAGACAGTTTTTAGCTTTTACCTGGAGAGTTGTACCCTCAGATTGACATTTTACAAAGATCACTGGGGTCATTGTGGGGAAGGATGCAAGGACCTGCCAGTGTATGGATCACCTGCTCTTGCCCCTGTGT